TTTTTGTTTGAAAGTTCTTCATTCATCAGAAACTAAATTAATGCCAAAGACTTGAACTATGAACTTATCTTACCTAACATAATAAACAAGTTTGAAACTCTTGGCTGCTCGATGAACCTTAAAGTCCACTTTTTACACATTGAGTGATGTGACTGAAGAGCATGGAGAACGGTTTCATCAGGACGTAAAAGAGGTGGAGAAACGATACCAGGGACGGTGAAATATCAGAGAACAATTAGAAACTGTGATTTCTCTATGAACCTATAGAGAGAAGTAGTACTTGTCAAGTAGGGCACCCAATACGTTCACACCCAAAAAGTATTAACTATTACTCATTACGAGTTTTCATTTATTTGAATTGATCCCATTACCGTTCATCAAGAAACAGTATTTTAGTTCAGGTGTGTGAAAAGTGTTTTCTATAGGTTGATCCTATAAATCATTATAGTGCAAATTAACTGTATTTTCTAAAGAAATTTTTCATAAAGAGCGTCATCGAAAACGCGCCGCAAGGCTGAAATTTCAAAGAAAGAACTTGTTAAGCCTATATTTATCTTTCCTTTCAGGAATCACCAATAAAACTGTGTTCCAGTGTAACACATAGACTGCAAATATTTTTGAAGTGTTTGTGAAACAAAGGTCATTCTTGTGGATTACCATCATACTAAGGAAAATCCTTTTCAAAAGAATTTCGAATTGAGAACTTGTTTTGATTATTCGCAGTCGGATTTAAAAGTGTCTTGATGGGATTCGAAATGGTTTCACAAAGTAATTCAATTTCACTGATAACTTCTTTTCTATCATCGCTACCTCTTGCTTCTTCATGTATGCATTCTTCTGGGTAGTTTTCTATCCATTGATACACTCTTTCTTTCGTTTCTTCTGCATCATTAGTGGTACCTGAGCTATTCAATCGTAAGTTTTCTCTTACTTTCGATCGGCCGCTTTCTGTTTCTTCTCGAGTGTTAATTTCAGCTTCTCCCAATTGGCTCTAACAATTTCAGACTTTTCACTTATTCTTCCTGTTCTAATTGGCGCACCTTCTTCTCTAATTGTTGTTTCTTTTTCTTATTTTCAAATGTTAATCGCTTTCGTTCTATGCTTAATAGTGAATGTAGACTGAAAACTTTACTCATTTTGTCTCTTGATTGTTTTGATTTCACTGAAACAGGATTTGAGGGCATACAACTTCTTTCTTTGCCAAATTTATCAGGCCAGATATAGTCATCATCAAGATTCCTGTTAATCCCAGCAGTTCCTCGTCTAGGTCTGTTCAGCAAGGATTTTTGTGAATTTATCGACGCATCTTTTTCCATGTCGTGGGTTTGTTGGGTTCACCAGTTGTTGAGACTAGTGATTTTTCCTTTCAGGAAACGCCAATAAAACTGTATTTCAGTCTAACAAAATTTTATTAACCTTTCCAAAATAACTTCTGACAGTCTCTTTTTTATAACAACTATATGATGAGCAAAAAAATATAAAAACAAAAGACGAATTGAATAATTAGAAAATCTGAATAAAAATTTCAACAGAATTTTTCACAAAAATCCAAAAACATGTCGAATTTGTTTTCAAGAGGGACGAGATGAAACAATCGACTGCTAATAACTAACCAACAGCTGCATTGGAGCCACTTTTGAATCTTCCTTCTTTACATTCTGTAAATCTGGGGGAAGTAAGAGTTGGGCAATTTGGACTAGAAAATTACTGAGTTACATACAATCGAAAGAAACGAACATTTCGGACAAAACATATCCTCAGACCGCATTATACCTAAATACATTTTCGCGGTTACGATCATGAACTATGAAGAATAGAAAATGAACAGTCATTCCAAGAACATGTTTGACAAAAACAGTTGGTATGCAGACTGATCGAAAATCGAACATGAGACGGTAGCTGGAATTAACTGTGCTGTGCGAATAGAAAACTACATTACGGGCGGATCGATATTTTCACAGCTGCACTTGAGGCACTAATGAATCCGAAAGTGACATGGAAACTGACCTGCGAGTGTCGTGGAGAACTTAAGAATTGGCGGACAAGAAAACTATACTGGATGCCAGCTCACTCAGGTGTTACGGGCAACAAAAAACCGATGAGAGTGGCAAAATATTTGGTATGGAATCATATTAGGAAATGAGTCTATTAGAAACTACGAGAGTTCTGGAAAAATGTACTCAGGAAAACACCCAGGAAAATTTTAAAAGATCATTCAAAAAGGGATTTGAAGAACTACTCCAACAAAGCAGGATCAAATCTAAAGAAATGAACTACAAATGTTCAAGCCTGAAACAACTAATGAAAAACGAAGAATTAAAAAACAATTGCTAGAAATAACTATTATATTAAGCAACATACCTGAAATGAAATAACAGTGAAATAGAATACAAGTAAAAATATAACAATTGAACAAAAATGTAAAATAAAAATAAAAATTCAAGAGATTCCAAGCCAAGTTACTTCGTGACGTTTCGATTGTTAGTATCCATAACCATCTTCGGGTGATGACTGGACTGTTCCATTTTCACTTGTATTTTATTTCACTGTTATTTTATTTCAGGTTTTTTGCTTGATATCATTGTTGATTCTTTCTTTTTTATTAGTTCTTTCGGGAATTTCGAATAATTTTATAAAGTGTATTTCTTTAATGCAGTGATGAGAGGGTCAACAGTAGATTCCAGCATATTCAAATACAGTTCCCCTGGTAACTTTTGATCAATAAATAGAGGTCCAACAATATGGTTTCCTAATATTCCTGCCCAAACGTTAATTTTTTCTGGATATTGGGTATGTGGTTCTCGGAAAACGTGAGGGTTGGTGTCACGCCAATAACGGCAATTTTGTCTGTGAACATTGCCGTTTAAAAAAATTTACATTCGTCACTAAAACGAATATTGTGGAGATAGATAGGATGCCTTGCAATGGTTTCCGTCATGATTTCGCAGAATTTTTTTCTTCGATCAGGGTCATCTTCAATTAATTGGTGTACCATTTTAATTTTGTATGGATGATACCTATTCCTACTGACGTACTGATATTTTTTGACGTTTTTATAAACGAAAAATAACTGAACAAACCTTATCGGGTTGTTGGAATTACCATATGGCAGATGAAAAGGAATATTTCTAGAAATATCGATATTAATGTGTCTGTCTTCAGGAAATTATTAAATGTTCCGCCAATTTGTAGTATTTTGTAGATATTGACTTCATATTCTAGGGTTGTGAAGTATTCGTCAGGAGCTTCAAAATAATGTGTTACAAGACTCCCCTTTCTATTTAATTTTTTTTCCCAGATGGCGCCCAGTTTCATCTGTCAATTTCACTTCAAAATAAAGTAATCATGCATTAATTCCATTATCCCAAATTGAAATTTTTTGGGTTGATCCGTTCAAAAATAAAAGGGGGGGAACATTAAAGAAATGCACTGTACAATATCAGACAATGGAAGTCCGAACTAATTAAACTGGAACTAATGTAAGTATAAATCCAGTTGCGACAGCTTCCTTTCCATCCAAGATGAACTCAGGAAAGTTCAAATATACTTGGTCAAAAAGTAATATTTTTCAAAGAATGTATTACTCGCTGCTCAATGAACTTCCTCCAGTAACGAAATCAATATTTGTTGCCAGAATGATACTAACCTCATAATCACCATCCTGTCCATCGGCGTGCCAATACCAAGACAAATGTTGCATGACTAGTTGCGCGACTGCCAAGGCCACGACGACGGCGGCTGCTGCTACCGCCGTCGAGACGCACATGAGGAAGAGACCGTAATTCCTGGCTCCGACGCAGTGGTTCAGCCACTTGCAATGATGATCGAATCGTTCCACGCACTTGTTGCAGGAACTGCAGTGTTTTGTGCGAGGACTGCTCGTCGAAATCAGGCAGAGACGGCAGTGGCCGAATTCGATGACGTGTGCGTGTTTTGTTCTGAAATGAATTTTTTTGTTTGAGTACTTCTTTACTCTTTTGGTGTTCTACAGGACACCGTTACGCTAACTAATTCCTTTCAAGATATGTCTATCACTAATCTATTTGATTAACCAAACTGACTTGTTTGAAAACTGCACACACAAAAATGTTTAACCGCATAATTCAGGGGCGGTACCAGAGTTAATCTCACTTCGTAAGGATTTCAAGGAAGATCAAACACTTTTCTCCAATCTAAATAGTTTACCTCCATCAACTATTTCACAATTAATCCTGAAAACTTAGCTCAGTCACGCTGGAACCCGCTTTGAAAAAAATCTACCTTTTTTTTAGCCTACTTTACCTACAAACGATATTAATAAATGTAGTAATGTTCATTTTT